CCCCCCCAGCCACCCCCTCGTCCCCCAGGACCCCCCCAAAGCCCCTCAGGGGGTCTCCACTCACCCCTTCGCTCCCTTTCCGGGGTTTTTCAGCCTCTTCTTCCTCCTCTTCCTCTTCCTCCTCCTCCTCCCCCCTCAGCGCCAGGAACTTGTTCTGCTTTTGGGGGGGGGTCCCAGACACGTTGGGGGGGTCTCACCCCCCTAAAGACCCCCCAAAAACCTCCCTCCTCCTCCTCCTCCTCACCTTCCCCCCTTTGGGCTTCGCCTCCTCCTCGGAGCCTTCGGCCTCATCCTCACTGGGAGCTTTGCCCTGGGGGGGGATAAAACCCACCAAAATAAGACCCCCCCCAATTTAGAGACCCCCCAATCCGTGGGTGGGACCCCCCAAATGTCCCTGAGACCCCCCATCACCTTCTGCTTCCCCTTGGCCTTCTCGTTCTTGTGGCCCTTCCTCTTCTTCCTCTCACCCTCCTCTTCCTCCTGCTGCAACCCCGAACAATTCCCAGGTTTTTGGGGGGTTTGGGGGGGTCCCACCCCCCTCCAGGACCCCCGGGGACCTCCAGGGACCCCCCCAAACCTTGTTGTTCTTGCCCTTGGGGGGCCTGGAGCCTTCCTCCCCCCTCTTCTGCTCCTCCTCCTCCTCGTCCTCCTCGCTCTGCTCCCGACTCAGCGCCGCGAACACGTTCCCGCCCTGGGAGGGGGAAAAAAGGGGGGGTTTGGGGACTCCAAAATATCCCCTCGCCCCCCAAACCCCAAAAAATCCCAGTTTTAACCCCCCCAAAACCCCAAATTTCGGGTCTTTTCTTTGATTTCCTCCCCCTTTCCCCGTTTTTGGGGAACCTTGAAGTTCTTCTCTCTCCCTTTGGGGTTCCTCCTCTTATTTTTTTGGGTCTTTTCTCCACGTTTCAGGACCCCCCCCTCCATATTTTGGGGTCCCTCACCTCTATTTTGGGGTCTTTCTCCCGTATTTCAGGGCCCCTTCCTCATATTTTCACCTTTCTCCTCCATATTTTGCACTTGTTCCCTTATTTTGGGGTCCTCCCCCCACATTTTAAGGCTCTTCCCCC